AATAAAAAGCTGGCTTATCAGGCTGGAGTCACAGTACAGTGGGTAGGCCATTTGTCTTGCACATGGCCCACCTGGGTTTGATCCCATTATCCCATATGGCTCCCCAACGGCACCACCAGGAGTAATTCCTGAGTGCAGAGCGAGGAGTAATACTCAGTGCAGAACCAGGAGTAACTCTGAGCATCAACAGGTGTGCCTCCACCCCCACCAAAAAAAAATAGTTGATTTATCTGCTGAGTTCTGTGGGAGCAATTTTCAAGAGCAGAGTAGGCATGTTTGGTTTGGTTTTTGGTTTGTTTTTTCTTTTTCCTTTTTTTTGGGGGGGTGAGGGAGGGGTATCAACAGCATCAATTGATTGATAATGACTGGCACATAATATATGCCAAATGTTTGCTAAAATAAGTGGTTACAAAAACATATTACTTATACATATATAAATATAAGGAAGTGGGCCGGAGCGATATTACAGCAGAGAGAATGTTTGCCTTGCATGCAACCAACCCGGGTCCAATTCCCAGCATTCCATATGGTCCCCATGAGCACTGCCAGGGATAATTCCTGAGTGCAGAAAAGGAGTAATCCCTGAGCGTTGGCAGGTGTGACCCCCCCCCAAAAAAAAGACCAACAATATAAGGAAGACTCAAGCGCCATTTGATTAAATTAGTATTTACAAGAATAGTTTGTAGTCCTATTTATAAGTGAATATGAGTATTATTTTCTGAGACATAGAATTAAAAAATGAACTTGACAGTGCAAAAGAGATCAACAGGTTGGGCATGTGTTCTGCATGCAGGAGGACTGGGTTCAATCCTGGTACTACATATCCCCTAAACATCGTCAAGAGTCCCTTAGTATCTACGTGGGAGTAGCCCCGAGCACTGTACACCCTCCCCCCAATCCCAAATGAGCCTTCAATCCTAAGAATTTGAAACAAGTCATGCAAGCACGGTGAATGAACTAAGCCAATTTCCCAGTTAGAAAAATAGAGGAAAATGCAGAATAGACCATTTAAAATTTTTTTCTAAGGCTGGAAAGACAACAAAGTGTGTAAGGTTTTGCATGTGGCTGACCTGGATTCAATCCCTGGTAGCACATATCCCTGGTCTCAACCCAGCCGAGCATGAGTGACCCCTGGAGAAAGCTCTTAGCAAAGACAAATGTGGCCTCAAACAGTGAAAAAACCACGAATGTATAATATTTTAGCAAGCTGGTTAAAGGATACTTTCCTTCTAGGCAGGGCTTTCTGACCCAAATTTTAATAGTTCGTTTAGTCAACAGTGCCTAATATTAGGCATTATAAAACTATAGCAACAGAAGAAGGTGCTTTAAGGCTGTGGGGGGGGGGGGGGACACTATCTTGAGGAGTTTCTAACTTAATGTCAAAGTAAAGCAAGATAATATGAAATAAACAACAGGACCAGTTTAGATGAAAAAGCAAAAGCAAAAGCCCAAAAAAAATAGAACTTAAGTAAGGTAAAAATAGTTTGACAGATGGAAGGTGGAAAAGCTCCTTCGGATGAATGAGAAGATTTCTGCCAATTTGACAGGGAATATGTAAGAATTAAAAAAAAAAAAAACCCTTGAGTAAAAAAGATGTTTTTTATTGGAAAAGATACTGGCAAAGAAAAAAAAAAGTATGTGGAGAGATAGAAGATAGAATGGGCTTAAGGAAATTGATTACACATAACCTAGCCTGGTTTGATGCACAATACAACATATAGTCCCCTGAGCACTGTCTCTGAGCACAGAATAAGCTCTGAGCACAGAATGAGGAAGAAGTCCTAACACCACCAGATGTGACCAAAAACTGAGGGGGGGGGGGGTGTGGGAGGCGATTCTTACCAAAAAAAAAAAAAAAAAAAAGAAAGAAATTCTTACACCTAAAACTCCCAAATTCCAACATGAGAAAAAAGGAGATTCAAGAATGCCAAGCATGTTTCCTATTTTCTTTTTGGAGGGATTTGGGCCATACCCAACAGTGCTCAGGGCATACTCCTAGCTCTATATGCTCAAGGATGACTCCTAAAAGGACTCAGGGGATCAAAATGTGGTAGCGAGGATCACACCAAGGTCAGAGGCATGCAAGGTAAGCACATCACCCACAAAACTATCTCCCATCCCAAATAAATGTTCAATAGCACTCTAAAGTAGCCTTGCTAGCAAAGAACCCTTGTATTTGTATTCTTTCTCAGTATGCACTCTGAGAAAGCATTATATACCAGGTGTACTTCAAATATTCAAAAGAAATAAATATTGTTTCTTTATCTTCCAAGTACTAATAATGTTGCTTTCAAGATAAAATATACAAAAAATATACATATATATATAAATATGGGATATAAAAATGTTTAAGTACCATGTTCACAATCACACCATCACAATCATCCTGTTGTTCGTCGATTGCCTCGAGCAAGCACCAGTAATGTCTCCTTCGCCCTAGCCCTGAGATTTTAAAAAGTGCCATATTCAAGGCTCTTTCAGGATTAGGAGAATGAGACCCATCATTGTTACTGGTATTTGGCATACTGGTTACACCACAGGGAGCTTGCCAGACTCTGCCATGTGGGCAGGTTACATTCGGTAGCCTGCCAGGTTGTCCAAAGTTAAGAATGAGATAACAAGATGTTGCTTCCGGGAGCTGGGTTTTATAGTCTCTGGGTCTTGGCCGTTGATGGGATTGGGGGGGGGGGCGGGGGCACAGTTGGTGGGTGTGACCCCTGGTATAGACCATGTTATGCTCTATAAATATACGTAAGGCGGCCAGGATGCATGCAGCTCATCAGTATAGCATTTGCCTTGCATATGTAAGGTACTGGGTTCAATCCCTGGCTCCACACACTGAAAGAGTAAGGTTACTGGAGGGTTATTAACTACAGGGAAATTAAGAGCAACTAAGATATAAAAGCAAAGATAATCTTAAGAAATTAGCAGCCAGAGGCAGGGCACTCACCTTGTGGGCAGAAGACCCAGGGTGGATCTCCCACATTCCATATGGTCCCCTGAGCCCCCCTGGAACCAGGAGTAACCCCTTAGCACTGCCAGGGTAGCCCCTCCCCCAAAAAATTAATTCATATAAATGAATCTGCAAAGTAATTCATATGCTTGCTTATCCTTAATTTGTTGCTCGTATAATACTTTTTTTTAGTTTCATTTGGCTATATATATGTTTTTGGGGTTTTTTTTGTTTTTTTTGGGGGGGGGGGGTCACATCCAGCGATGCACAAGGGTTACTCCTGGCTCTGCACTAAGGAATTACCCCTGGCAGTGCTCAGGGGACCATATGGGATGCTGGGAATCAAAGCTGGGTGGGCTGCATGCAAGGCAAATGCCCTATCCTCTGTGCTATTGCTCCAGCCCCGGGCTACAATTCTTTTTTTAAAAGAACATAAATACCCAAAAGTTTATCAGTGATTACAGAAGCAGTGTATGAGTGAAAAATTACTTTGATGTTCAGAATGGCAATACAAGTGAGGAAAATTGAGATGCAGAGGCCAGAGATATAATACAGGGGGGGTCAGGATTTGCCTTGCAATGTGCCAATCAAGTTTCAATACCTGTACCCCAAAGTGTACCCCAAACCCTGCTAGGAGTGATTCTGAGTACAGAGTCAGGAGAAAGCTCTGAGCACTCCTGGGTGTGTTTCTTCCCCAACCCCAAAAGAGAAAGAAATTGAGATGGAATCAATGACTTTCAAAAAAATTACCAAAAAATGAATTCTTTTATATAGCCAAGAAATAAGAAAGAGAGCAGATCGGGAAGCTTTTATTTGCAAAATTTAAATCACAAGAAGACTAGTTACAGTTCAGAACAAGTTGCACAAGTTTTGAGTATCGAAGTTTACAAGGCAGGCTCAGCTCGCTGATTTCCACCAACACCACCACCAACTGAGAAGGGCTTATAAAAACAAAACCACAGAATGAAAGAATTCTGTCTTCCACAGAATTGTGAACTTTGAGCTTACCTTCTTTCCCTTTAGGAAGTAACTCTGGTTTAGTTTTAAAATCTCAAGTTACCAATCAACTACATAAAATTACAATGCCCAAAGATGGGATTAAGTACTCTGAAAACATCACCAGCAAAAATCCTTGCCAATCAGAACCAGTAATGTTTACAAAATCTCACTCACCATTTTACTCCTCAAATGCTTTTTTCTGGCCTGACTGCCTCCAGTTCCAACCACAAGCACTTTACCAAAATACTATTCGGGTAAACAATAGTCTCTTAACAGTCAATGATATCCTTCATCAAACTAATATGACAAGAGCGGGGAAGATTAATTAGATATTAAGATCCAAAATCACCAGCCAAGTAACAATTTGGGAAAATGACTCATTAGTAAATTTCCAATCTTTAGCCATGTATCAAAGTCTACACACAAACATTTTTTAAACGGTTGATGCTTCGCCCTCTCTAGAATCCTCTAAAACACACACACACACACACACATACACACACACACACAAAAACCAAAATCGACAGACCAGGAGTTCAAAATAGCTTCACACAAACAGCAAAATTGCAGGTTTTGCTGAGGGCACGAGCCACTTCCCTCGAGCCCGTCTTCGCGGGGCGCAGGAAGCCACACCGCTTGTTTCCATCAGTTTCTAGGAAACCCGCAGATAAAAAAGGACTGACGGACAGCGGCGTCCGGGAGTGGAAATGAGACGGGGAGGCGGTCGCGGGAAACGCCCGGGGTCAGCGGGGCCCGTGGGCGCGTGCGGGGACGCGACCCGGCGCGGGAGGCGGCCGCCCGGACGGCGCCGCTCGGGGGTCCGCCCGGGGTCCGCGTGTCCCCGCAGTCCTCTCCCCTGCCCCTTCCTAACGACAGCGGCTACGGGCAAAAGTTTCCCGCCCCGGCCCGCGGCCCCGGCGCCCGTCCGAGCGCGCCGGGCCGCGTCCACACCCACCGAGCGCCCGGTCTCTCGCCCGTGACAGACACGCAGCGCGGCCGGCGCGGCCCGTCCCCCGAGGCGCCCCGTCCCCCGGAGGGCCCCACTCACCGCCGGCGTGTCGGGGTCTCAGCCGCGCGCGGGGGCTGCCGTGCCGAGGCGGCGCAGGAGACGAGATCCGGGGCCCCGCCGCCGGGTCATCATAGCCCCCGCGCCAACCGGCCCGGGCCCCGGCCCCCCGCCCCCCGGAGCGGTGCCCCCTCAGCCCCGCGCCGCCCGGGCCCCCGCCGCCGCCCCCGCCGCCGCCGCCGCCGCCGCCCCGCGCGCTCCCGCCTCGGCCTCCTGCCGCCGTCCGGGGCCGCCGCCGGGGCCCTCGCGCCGCGGCCGCCGTTGTCGCCAGGCCCGACCAGCCGAGTGCCGAGCCGTCGCCCCATCCGGCCGGCCCCGCCTCGCGGGAACCGTTCAGCCGCTCGGCGCCATGACACCTACTGAGGCGGAAGTGCCCGAGCGCGGCGGGTCACGGCGACTCCATGGTGGGCGTGCGGGCGGGGGGGCCTCCGTGCGGCGCCAGCGTGGACGGAGCGCGCGGGTCGGACGCCCGCCCCCTCGGCATCGAGTGCTCGGCGGTGCTGAGCTCAGGTGTTGAAGGGTGGCCGCGGAGGCTGCAGCTGCCCGGTGTGATCCCGGCCTGTGTGACATCACCGGGCCAGTGTGACCGCCCGGGGACGGCGCAGCGCCCGGGCTGGGCCGACCGGGTGACCCGGACGCCTCCCTGCCGCGGAGGAAAGGCCCCTCTCAGGCTTTGAAGTTCCATTACCCCCCCGCCCACCATCGTACTAGCAGAACCGTGACATCAGGGCACCGACACTGCGAGCCCCGCGGGCAGAGCCTGAGAACCGGGGTTGGCATCGTTAAGGAAAAATAGACTGCTCCGAAGCGAACCCCAGAGAACGCAAAGCTTGCCCGGGGCCAGTGCTACCACGACTGTTGCCTCAGCCACGATACAGCAAGGCCAGGTGCTAGGGAAATGGAGCGTCTGGAGCACGCAACATTCTGTAGAATTGGACGCTGTGGAAACGAGGTGGTCCTCAGACAGCGTTGAGAGATTCCGTGGGACTTCAGATACACCCGGGTTTGCTCCAGCTCTGCATTGGCCATCTCTCCTGACTATCCTCAGGCGGACCGTATTTGAATCAAGGGATCGAACCCTCATCACCATGTGCAAAACAAGCACCTTACCTCCCCGTACTCTTCTCCATTCTCTACCATTTCTTTATTCTTACTGTTTTGTTTTCATCTGACTTCTCTTAAACTCTTTAAGCAATCTCCTTAGCCCCTCATATAGTTTGAAGGAAATGTGTGCTTTCAGGAGAAATCCGGTAGCAGTGAGGAGGTTGGCTGGTTGGATGGAAGGAACTGAAAGAGCATTTAATTAGGAAAACACGGTGAGGGTGTTATTAAGCACAACATGGAAGTATGGGACAGTGTCGGGTCAGCAGCATAAAGAGAAGAAACTCTTGTTTGTTGCCAGTCCCAAGAAGAAAAGGGGTGGGGTGGGTAGTGCAACAGGTAGAAGACACTTGCTTTGCATAGGCCGACCCAGGTTTTATCTGACGTCCCATATGGTCCCAAGCCCACCAGGAATGATCCCTGAATGCAGAGCCAGGTGTAAGCCCAGAGCACCACAGGATGTGGCCCCCAAACAGAAACAAAGCAGAAACAAACAAACAAAATCTCATCTAGTATATGATATGCCAAGGGTTGAGGGCCTAGACTCAGAGTTGCAGGTGAGAACCACTGGCTTAGGAGCTGCAGTCAAGTTCTGAGCAGCTGAACCAAAGAGGTAGGCAAGTCATCCCACAAGTAATAAATCAATTCAGCAAGGAAGAAAAGGGAAGTTTAAACAGAGCCCACTTGTTATAAGACAAAAAAAAAAATAACAGGTGAGGGACTGGAGACATAGTACTTCGGATATTCCCTCTCACCTGATTTTTTGGTTTTGGGTCTACACACGGTGGTGCTCAGGACTTACTTCTGGCTCTGCACTCAGGATTCACTCCTAGCAGCCCTACCTATCTGCCTGGCCCATCTATTGATGATTCTTATCTGTATATTTCTTCCTTATGATTAATTATTATTTGTCTATTTAATAATAGAGGCTCATTTATATTACTGTTTCAATGGTTTACAATTACTGTTTTGATGGTTTATAATTCCTTACTATCCTTAATTTATTTTGGGGCTGAAATTGTTCAGATTTAGTCAATGTGTACCCATTCAGCCCTGGGTCATTTTTATTATATCCCTGTAGTAAAGTGGTTCAACTTCATCTATCCTTTCTCTTCCCAAGCCCTAGAACCAGTCATTTCTCTGCAAAACCCTGGCTTCTTTTATAGGTATATAAGAAAGCAAGACCTAGACACTAGGTCCATATTGATTTCTTTTGTTGTTGTTGTTGTTGTTATTGTTTTAACTTTGGTTTGTGGGCCACACCCAGGAGTGCTTAAACCTTATTCCTGATTCTGTGCTCAGGGATTATTCCTCGTGGGACTCAGGGAACCAGATGGAGTACTGGGTCTTGCACTTAGGTTGACTGTACAAGGCAAGCGCAAGCAACCTATTGGCTGTATTATCTCTTCTACCCCCATATTGATTTCTTATGACCAAGCTTGTGACCTAGGGAGTCAAAGCCAACCTTGAATGGGCAATTTCTCCACCCATCCATTTCCTGCAGTTGCAAGAATTGGATATGTCCAGACCTCCTCTTTCCATGATTTCTTCAAAATGTCTTTAGTAAAGGAACCTGAGGAGGAGAGGTGACATTTATTCTTTGTCTGTTCAGTTAATACTTAGGGTTAACCAGCTGCTATAGCAAACAAGTACATGTCAATGACTTTACATACTTTAGGGTGTGTGTGTGTGTGTGTGTGTTTGGGAGTGGGGAGGCTATAAGAGTCATGCTAGTACTTTGGGAGCTACTCCTGGCCCTGTGCTCAGGCGTTGGTGGGAAGGGAACCTAAATTGGTCACAACCCCTGTACTATCTCTCCAAACCCTTAACACAATTTTTATTGCCAGCTCATACTGTCTATCTATTGCAGTTGGCTAGAGCAAAGTCCCAGGATGAAACGGTTGCTCTGTTCCATGAAGTCATTTAGAGGTTCAGGCACCTTCCATCTAGATTCTTATGTCTCTGCCCCATGCCCTGGAGCCTTGGATTTCTCCACTAGGTTCTTTGTATTTGGCCAGAAAAAAAAGAAAGAAAAAGAAAGAAAAAAAGAAAGAAAAGGGAAGGAAGGAAGGAAGGAAGGAAGGAAGGAAGGAAGGAAGGAAGGAAAAAGGAAGGGGAGGCAGGACGGGAGAGGGAGAGAGGGGAACGAGAAGGAGAGAGAGAGAAAGAGAGAGAGAGAATAGGATGAATGTGCAGGAAAAAAATTTTAATCCAAACTCATATTTACACTCTGCAAACATGACATTCATTAGTGGGAGTGTGGGAGTTCAGGACAATGGATCCAGGTAACTATTGGAAGATTAAGAGCCAATGTGATCAAACCAGGTGCCCAGGATAAAGGAGATTTGATTTGGTAGAAATTTTGCCAGTCTCTACCACTCTTTTTTTTTTCTTTTTGAGTCACACCCAGCAACGCACAGGAGTTACTCCTGGTTTATGCACTCAGGAATTACTCCTGGTGGTGCTTGGGGGACCATATGGGATGCTGGGAATCAAACCTAGTTTGGCTGCGTGCAAGGCAAACACCCTACCCACTGTGCTATTGCTCCAGCCCCTGCCACTCTTTTTTAAGAGCCATTTTCTATATTACTTCTTCCCCAGAATAGTTTCTCAGTTTTATTCACAAAGGATTCTTTGACTGGAGACACGGTAAATCCCTCTGCCCCAAATCATAGGATAAATCACTTCTAAACAAATTATAGTAATTCTTTATCTTCTTGTCCTCCTATTTATGTTCCATCAATATTATTTCCTTATTTTATTTGTTTAAGTCACACCCAACAGTACTTAGGGCTCACTCCTGAATCTGCACTCAGAAATCAGTCCCTGTGCTTGGGGACCATATGTGGTGCTAGGAACTGAACCCAGGTCAGCCCTCTGCAAGACTATGTACTATATATTCTCTGTACTATCTCTCTAGCACCAGTGTTCTTATGTTTTAATCAAACTCTCAGACAAATGGCCTATTCTTTGGCACCCCAGACAATTTTAACTCATACAGAAGAAAATCAAGAACTTTTAGAAGTTCCCATCTATGGCAGCAAAGGAGTATAAGGAGAGAAGCTTGTGAACTGGGTAATTCAGATGTTATTGGAGGTCTTGGTGAAAGTGGTTATATTTTTTATTATATTAATTTATTTTGTTTTGGGGCCACACCTTATGATACTCAGGGTTTACTCCTGCCTCTGCACTCTGGGATCACTCTTGGTGGGCTCAAGGAAACATATGGGCTGTACTGTAGCACTGTCCTCCCATTGTTCATCAATTTGCTCAAGCAGGCACCAGTAATGTCTCCATTGTGAGACTTGTTGTTACTGTTTTTGGCATATCAAATACACCACAGGGAGCTTGCCAGGCTCTGCCATGCAGGCGGGAGGAATCAATCCCAAGTCAGCCGCGTGCAAGGCAAACGCCCTACCCGCTGTGCTCCATCATATGGGCTGCTGGGTATTAAAACCAGGTCACAAGGCAAGTACCCCCCACCCAGCATATTATTGCTCCTATATATATATATATATATATATATATGTAGCACTGTCTTCCCATTGCTCATTGATTTGCTTGAGTGGGCACCAGTAATGTCTCACAACAAATTGTAAGACTTGTTGTAGGTGCTGGCGCGGATGTGGCGAGAAAGGGACTTTCCTTCACTGCTGGTGGGAATGCAGGTTGGTCCAACCCTTTTGGAAAACAGTATGGACGATTCTCAAAAAATTAGAATTTGATCTCCCATTTGACCCAGATATAGCACTCCTGGGAATATATCCCAGAGAGGCAAAAAAGTATAGTCGAAGTGACATCTGCAATTGTTTGTTCATTGCAGCACTCTTTACAAAAGCCAGAATTTGGAAAAAAACCTGAGTGCCCGAGAACAGATGACTGGTTAAAGAAACTTTGGTACATTTACACAATGAAGTACTATGTAGCCGTTAGAAAAGATGAAGTTATGAAATTTACATACAAGTGGTACTACATGGAAAGTATCATGTTAAGCGAAATGAGTCAGAAAGAGCGGGATAGACACAGAAAGACTGCATTCATCTGGGGAACATAAAGCAACAGGAA